TTACGTACGTTTGCTTGTAAACAAAAACGTTACACACGCCGTTTGCGCGCTTGTGTGTTCCTAGTTTTAGTAGCCTTGTTCGCAAAATTTACCTTGCCACGCTGCCGCCGCGCCGGTTCAGACCGAATCCACTACGCACACAGGCACCCACACTGTCAGGGAAACTTTGTCCGGCAAGCACACTCATGTGTGCGTGTGTGTGAGTGAGTGCCGACTGCGCGGACTGTGTTGTCGGGCGGCTATTGGTCGCACGCGCGTACTGGACCCAACCGAACCGCAGATAGCACCTGGATCAATGCAGGGTGCGCGGCGTGACCACATGCCCCCTTCCCCGCCCCGCCCCTCCACGCCCCGCCCCGCCACGCCTCACGGGTCATTTGGCGGGGCGAGACCATTTATGTGACGTGTGTCCGCAGTCCGGCGCACGATGACCCAGAAAACCGGAAGCCCCGCCGCGACCGAGACACAGAGAGAAAGAGAGAGGGGTTCGCGAATGGGAAAATTCCATTTATTCGGGATTCAGCATTTTATTTCCCTTTTTTTCCCCCTTTCATTCTCGGCCGTGACTCTTACTCTTCCCCTTTCACCTTGCTCGCTCCTTCTGGCGCGCGCAATCCCTCGCCGGCAGCTGTTGTTCGAGGCTCGGCTCGAGGTGGACAAAGTTTTTTGATTGGCTCTGTTTATCGGAGAGCTTCCCCTCCCCGCCGCCTCCTCCGTCCACAAGCCCCGGCGCGGCCCGGCGCCCCCCGTCGTCTGTGCGCCGCACTCCGCAGCTCCGGGCTGTGTGCTCTGCGCCGTCAACCCCTTCTTCTCCTCCTTCTTCTTCTCGTTCTGTTGATCCGCGGATTCCCTTGGAAGGCGCCCCCGCCGTCGCCGCGCGTGCCTCGTGTTGTCATCAGCGTTAAGTATGAGAGAGAACGCGGACTGGTAGTTAATGTGGCCTTACAGTAGGCCGTCGGCGGCGGGGGGTTTTCCAGCGGGGAAAAGCCATTCACGGGAGAAAAGAGAGAGGAGTTCTTTTTCCGCCGCGCGGTTGCATTATTTAGATCCGCTCCCGCCGCGTCGATGCTGCAGAAGCAACAAAAAATGAAATAAAATGAAATAACCGGAATAAACAATAAAAAGTGGCCGCGGTGATTGACGCCGCCCTGTTGCGCCTGCAATGTATATCTACACGTGTGTGCATAATTGACGCAACCCTTTTGCCCTTTTGCGTTGATTTGCGGAGAGGGAGCGGTGTTCCGATGCGCCCTGCACTGCAAACAATCGCGACGCAGTGGGCCAGAAGACCGGTGGAGACGGTCAAAATTGCGGACGCGTTTTGACCTATAGGGCTCGAACCAAACAAGTGACCCCACCAATGGATTCCTCGTTCGGAGAGCAATCCATTGGTGGGGGTCACACGCTCTGTTCGAGTCCTGCTTAGCGACTCTGGTGCTCAAAACGCCTTAAGTGTTTTGGCCACCCAGGCCGCCCGGATGCCACGCAGACCCGGCGGGCAGGAGAGCCCAGCGCGTTGCCTACCCGCCACGGCGCCTCGGCCGCCGCAGTCTCGCGACAACGCCGATTCTCGTCGGAGTTCGATTTTTGCTTGTCGCGTGCGCGGCGCGTGTAGCAGGGATGCACGCTCTTGCCGCCTCTGGCATTGCGGGGCGTTCCAGAACACCATCGGCGCGAAGCATCCGTTTGCGGAGCATGAAGACACGATGGCAGTGGCCGGAATGCGGTATCCCTCAGACGCGTAACGAGCGGGGCGGGGCGGGGCGGGGCGGGGCGGGGTGGGGGGTGGTGGGGTTGGGCCGCTGGGGTGCATGGAGGCATAAACAGAAGCACACCCCAAAATAGACGCCGCACCGCCTCGCCCCGCGGCCGCGCCGTACCAGCGAAGCGGCGAGCTAGATTCCGAAGAGCGTCGTCGCGTCGCTCCGTCTCTCTCGCACCCCTGCGGGACGCCCGGGACGCCTCACGAGTGCGACAGAGACAGAGCGACGAACGGCGTCCCAAGGCGTGCGTGGGAAGGCAGGCCTCCACTCCGCTGCGTTCGCGGCGCGCGGCGCGGCTCGAGTCTTGCGGCGGGCAGGCCGAGGGGCAGGCCGAGGGGCAGGCCGAGGGGCAGGCCGAGGGGCAGGCCGGGCGACGCCGACTATTGGAATCAATTAGGCTGCCAGCTCGGGCTGCCCGGCCTGCCGGCCTGCCGGCCGAGACTCGAGAATGCGCCGTGCCGCCGAGCGCCGAGCGCAGCGCGCGGAGCGCAGCAGATTGGCCCCGATAAGCGCGGTCCCCTTTTGGCGGGAAAGTGGAGTGTTGTGTCCGGGCTTATCGCCAGCGACCGCCAGCCAGCCAGCCAGCGGGACGATCGCGTCCACGACGATGAGGGCGGTGTGGCGGTGTGGGTGCGGCTCAGAGCACGCCGTCGTGGCGCGGCGGCACGCTCCACCGGGGGCAGGGCGGCACGCTTGGCGGCGGGGCACCTCGTCCATTGGCCGCTGCTTGGCCTGGACCGAGATCGGGGCGAAGGCTGTCTGCCTTTTGTTTGACTTGGCGCTTGCTGCGTCGGCAACCCGGCCGACCAGGCCGACGGGGCCGCCCAGGCCGCCCAGGGGTGAGGGCACTGTAAACGAAGAGGAAATCTCGGGCAAGTGTCGAGTGGCCGAGAGCGAGCGGCGAGCGGGCAGGGGCAGCGAAGGGTACCCAGGGAGGCACAGCAGCCCGCCAAGCTCGGCGTGGAATGGATTCAGGATTTTGGATTCAGGCACCAAAGGGTCGGCCTCTCTGGCTGCTCTTTAGACTTTTGTTTTCCCTGCGCGCTTTTCTGTTAATGCCGGGTGTAGTAAAGAACGCGGCCCGGCGGGCTGGTTCGGGCTGGCTCGCCCAGTCTGTGCGTTTGCTGACAGGGTTATTAGAGCGCGGGCCCGGCGGGAGTCGCTCTGTCTCCGTCCCACCCTCGCGGGACGCCCCGTGAGTGCGAGAGAGATAGAGTGTCCGGAGTGAGCGCGCCGGCGAGGCGGGCGGCACCGCCTCCGCTCCCTCCGCCCCGCCCCGCCCCGCACGCCCCCCAGTGACCCCTTTAGAGGCAGCTGACCCAACTCCTTACACCCCCGGTACACCCTGCCGGCTATGGCCCGGCTATGGCCCGGCTGGCTCGCACCGCCCTCTCCACCCCGACACCTTGCCGTCCCCGCCCCGGGCCGCCTCCCTCCCGACGTCAGTCACCCCGTGACGGCTGACGGCGTGACGGCGTGGCAGCCGCGCGTCTCAATGCTTCGCCGCTTCGCCGCCGCGCCGCCGAGCAGCGCTCTTTATTCCCGGTTGACTCGGGAAAGGCGGCCGAGGCGGGGGAAGCGAAAAGCAAAACGAGCGAGAGGCAGCCAGGCTGGCGCGCGCGACAAAAGCGACAAATAAATGCAGGAAAAGAACGTCGGAAGGCTTCTTGTCGTCTGCCAGTGCGAGTGTGAGACGGGCGAGGTGGCGAGGGGGGGGGGGAATCGCGGATCGAGGATCGGGCCTGACCGCGGCGCCGCGCCCCGCAAAGCAACAGTAAAGAGCGGTGGCACATTGTGTCTCCGTCGTTTATTTACTCGCCGAGCTTCATGCTTTGCTTGCTCTGGCGCTCTGGCGCGCTGGCTCTGGGCGACGCGTGTCTGGGTCTGGCCCGCCGGCCGGCCCGGCTTAGCGCCCGGACACTGGGCAAGCCCGCAGAGCGCGGACGCCGCGCGGGCCAGTCCGCCGCACGGCGTCAGCCTGAACACAGGAAAAAAGAAACGAAACCACAAATCGTGGAGATTAAAAACTTGATTAAAACTTTCATGGAAAAATGGGAGCGTCTCGCGGTTAGGGTGCACACTGCACATGACGCGGAATGGAACTGCGCCAAACGAGTCGATTGGCCAGCACGCCCACAGTGGGCCAGAAAACCGGTGGATAAGGCCAAAATTCTAGACGCGTTTTGAGCTCCAGAGTCGCTAAATGGGACTCGAACTGAACGTGTGACCCCACCAAAGGGTTGCTCTCCGAACGAGGAATCCATTGATGGGGTCACACGTTCGGTTCGGATCCTGTTTAGCGACTCTGGAGCTCAAAACGCGTTGAGAGTTTTGGCCGCCTCACCGGTCTTCTGGCCCACTGTGCTCCATGGCGCCACATCGTGGCGTGGCGTGTCGGTTCGCGAATCGGATTTTGCGGTGAAAGGAGACGCCGGACGTGACAGGGGGACATTTCCCGTCCTCCGGCCTTCGGTTCACTTCGGTCGACATTGAGGCTCCGGAAGCGGCCAGCCCGACCGGCCCGCCGAGCCAACCGAGCCAACCGAGCTGGCCGCAGTGGCCGGCCGGGGCGAGCCGCAGAGGCACGCCGACGACGCCATGCCTAGTTTGACGGTCCCGCCGGCAGTCCGCCCGGGGTTTTGACGGGGTTGCGGGGGGTGGATTCAGCTCCGTTCGCCCTGCCACTGTGTGCGGCTTTAGAATAGAGTGTAGCGACCGCTTACCGCGTTCTGCGGCTTATTATTTCACAGTGACTGTTATCCGCATAGACTGAAAACTCCGAATTGTCCCGCGGCACTAAGTTTTTTCGCTGCGGCAACAAAGTTTGGCGTTTCCCTTTTTGCGGTGTTTCCGACCCTCTCCCTCTCTCTCTCGCTCCCCCAGGACGGCGTGGCCTGGCTCGGCAAGCAGACGCTGTACAGTAGGTGGCAATGGCTTGACGGTGGGGGAGATTGCTTTTGTGCAGCTCGACGCCGTCTGAATTTAAGCTGATTCCGCGCCGCGCCGTGCCGCGCCGTGCCGCGCCGCCGTGGTGCCGTCAGAGGAGGCGAGGGCGAGGCACTCACTCCGGGGGTCGAAGTAGGCGAAGATACCGCCCCAGCCGCATTAGATTACACTTTGGCCCGGCGTATTGGTTCGGGGACGCCGGGTCGCGCGCGCCGGGACGGGCCGGGACCCGCAGCGCTTCTTTGTGACTGTGACGACGGACTTGTAACGGCTTTTGTCTTTCTGTTTCAGGCTGATGTCGGGCCGCGAGGACATGCCGGCCTGAACCATGGGGGCCAAGGGCGCGTCCAGCCCCGCGCGGGGGCAGCAGCAGGCCGCCCCCAAGAAGAAGCCTCCGCGGAGCCCGTCGCCCGCGGCCACGTCGCCGTCGAGGTCCGCCAAGGCCAGCAGCCACAGGGCCAAGAAGGCTCCGACCGTGGTCGCCAAGAAACCGTCCCCGGGAGCCGTGGCCGCCCTCAAGAAGCCGTCCAAGTCTTCCAAGACGACGGCCACCCGGGCAGGCGCGGCCCAGGCGTCCAAGGCCGCCAAGCAGGGCGCCGCCAAGAGGAAGGAGTCCAAGTCCAAGTCTTCCAGGAAGGCGGCCCCGCCTAGTCGCGACGCCAAGTCCTCGGCGAGCCCCACCCGCCCCGCCCCGGCGAGCGCGGCCGCCGAGAGTGTGGAGAGAGACCAAAAAGCTAGCACCAAAAAGGGGGCCGGCTCGGCCACGTCCAAGCCCCCCGCCCCGAAGAAGCGAGCGCCCACCTCGGCCTCGGCCTCGGCCTCCAAGAAGGCCACCTCTAAGTCACTGCCAGAAGAGACCTCGACTGACCTCGAGTCCTCGGACTCAAAGCCAAACTCGCCGCGCCCGGCCGCGAAAAAGAACCAAACGAAATCACTGCCTGATAAGGCCGCCCCGCCCGAGGCGGACAAGACAGACAAGGAGGCCAAAACGAAAAGTGTCGCAAAGAAAGGCGCTGACAGTAAAAGCGCGCCCAAGAAGCCCGCCAGGGCCGAGCCCGCCAAGAGGCCCTCGCACAAGAAGGGGGCGTCGAGCCAGGCGGCCGCCAAGAAGCCCTCGTCCGCCAAGAAGGACACCAAGAAGGCCGCCGCCAAGCCGACGCCCACCGCCGCCAAGAAGGCCCGGAGCAGGGATGGCAGCAGCAAGGCCAAGCGGAAGGCCAAGCCGGCCGAGGCGGCGGCCAAGGCGGTGCCCTCCAAGGCCGCCGACAAGGCCGCCGACAAGGAGGCCCTAGCGGCCGGCAGCTCGGAGGAGGACGCCGAGAGGAAGAAGCTGGTCGCCAAGCGCAAGCTCCCCAAGTCGCCCGCGCAGTCGCCGCCACGCGAGTCGGAGGACGGCCTGGTGCGCTCCTCGGCGCGGCACTACGTTGACCTGCTGCACGCCCCGAGTACGTCCTCCACGCTGCAGCTCGCCGCCGACGCCAACAAGGAGCGTGCCGTGGTGCTGCACAACCCAAGCTCCAAGGTGCACCACGCCGTCACCATCAAGAAGGCCCGTTGGAACGACGCGCACGTGACCAAGGCCGCGGTGTCCGAGGGCGAGCGCCGGCGCCAGGAGATGGCCGCGCGCAGCCTGGCCAAGGCCGCACCCACCATCCAGGCCGCCAAGGAGAAGCTGGCGCAGTGGAAGGCCATGGTGGAGCGCGAGGCGGCCACCACCACCACCATCACCACCACCACGACCACCATGACGTCCAGCGCCACCGCGCCGCGCGGCGACGACGACGACGACGACGTGCCGCTCAAGTGCCTGCGCGCCGACGGGCTGGCCGAGGAGGTCCGGGCCGCGGACTCGGCCGGGATGCTCAGCTCCTTCAAGATCGACGCGCACTCCTCGCTCATGTCCCGCATGGGCGGCAACATGTCCTCCGTGCCGCACAAGAAGCGGCCGTACGCCGCCAAGCAGATCGCCACCACCACCACCACGACCACCACGACCAAGGTGATTCGCAAGGCGGCCGTGGACGAGCGCGTGCGGCCCGCCAGGGACGTCTACGAGTTCGGGCTGTCCAGCAGCGACCACGGCATGTCCGACGCCGGCGAGACGCTCAACCGGATGATGTCCAGGAAGAAGAAGAAGAAGAAGTCGGAGCACAGTGACTCGGACAAGGAGCTCTCGGACGCCAAGAAGTCACCGCTGGGCAGCGGCAGCGAGTCGGACAAGCAGCGCGCGCGTCTGCTTGGCTTCTGGAACGGGCCCAAGCGGCACCGGCTCGCCTCCCTGAACGCGCAGGCCAAGGTGCGCGTCATGTACTCGGACGAGAACGTGTCCCTCGTGTCCAAGGCCAAGCGGCTGCCCGTGCGCGCCGGCCGCTCCGCCGAGCCGGACAAGAGCAAGGAGAAGCAGCAGGCGGCCCAGAAGCGCCGCGAGAACGTCCGCGACAAGAGGAAGGCCGCCGTGAAGCAGGACAGCTCCGACGAGGACAACGCGCGCGACGAGTCGGACAGCGAGCCGCCGTCGCCGCCGTCCACGCGCGTTTTGCGCACGGGCCACGGCATCCGCGGGGTGGGCAGGAACTGGGACGTCAACAACCTGTCCTCGTCGTCGTCCTCACCGGCGCCGTCCTCGTCCTCGTCGTCCTCCTCGTCCTCGGACGTCGACAGCGACTCGGACGCGGCGGGCACCTCCAAGAAGAAGAAGAAGCAGTCCAGCAAGCGGCACAAGCTCGCGAAGAAGAGGTCGGCGTCGAAGCCGCCGCAGCCGCTCGCACTGAAGGACATGGTGGTGACCAAGCGCATGGCCAGCTTGAACGCGGCGGCGATCATGGCCGCGAGCTACAGCGTGGAGAAACGCACCACCACGACCACCACGCGCGACGCCACCACCATGGAGGAGAAGAACGTGACCACGACGGTGGTGGCGGCCCAACTGCCGCCGGAAGTGCGCCCCGCTACCCCCTCGCCGCCCAGCGCCGCCGTCGCCGAGGACGTGGACAAGACAAAGCAGGTGGAGGAGCTGATTGACCTGATCGCCACGCCCGACGGCCGGCACCACATCATCCTGAACCGCGACGACGTGACCATCACGGGCGTGTACGTGCGCAACTCGACGCACTCGCTCACGCACTCCGCCACGCGCGCCGAGGGCTTCTGCTCCATCGCCGGCCTGGAGTACCGCATCAGCTCCACCAGCCACACCAGCACCGAGGCCACGGCCGTCACCACCGAGGTCATCAACGTGGCGTCCACGCCCAGCAACGAGGTGAGCACTTCATTTTCGGAAGGGTTGTCGCTGCGGTTGAGTACTGACACACCGGGATAAACCAATCCCGAATCGGTGACCCAGTGTGTCGCACTGTGCGCCGCTCGGCGCCGACGATGCGGCTCGCCGGCACGGTGGGGCTTCTTCACTTATTGGCTGAGCGTCGCTGAGCCTGGCCGGGGAAGTGCGGTGTAGTGGAGACAGTCAAGTGGCTGTGCTCCGCTCGCTGCGCACGCCGCATCAGTGCAGTATGCATGAGTGGCCCGTGTGTGAGGCGAGTGCAGTCTGCGGTGAGTGTGCGGCTGAGAGTGTAGTGGCGTCGGTGTGGGCACCGCCCCGCCGCTCGCCCCGATTGGTCAGCGTGTTGGCTGCAAAGCGGAAAGCGGCGCGCCGAGCACGCCGAGCACGCCCCACCTGTTCTGCCTTTGCAAGCGCCGCGCGCAGCCCCAACCCCAACCCCAGCCCCAGCCCCATTGACACCAATGCAGCCGGCAGCGAACTGGTGCGTGCGAACAAGCGTTGCGTCGGTGCAGTGTAAACGGCACTGAACGCCCTGCTCGGGGCGGGGCGGGGCAGGGCGGCACTTTGCATACTCACGCAGTGTCTGTCACCAACTGGGAAAGGAGACAATCTTGATGGGATTAGCGCAAACACGTCTGTCTGCACGCGTGTGGGACTGTGGGGTTGTTAGTTTGTCTGGCTGCTTTCCGGGAGTCGTGCCGTGCGAGTTTGAGTCTGAATGTGTGTGTGAGTGTGTGTGTGTGTGTGCGTCCCCTTTCGCAGCGCTGAAAAAGCCCTGGCCGCTGTCGCTGCCGCGCTGCACTCGTAGGGGTCCGGAGCGCAACGGTTTCCCCTGATTTTACGGGGCTGTGAACGTCAAGGGTCATAAGCGTCAAAGTACATGAGGGAAAAACAATGTTTAGAATGATAAAATTGAGTTGTTTGGCGCGGCGTGTAACAGCTTAACCGCGCTGCCGACGAGCAGGGCGCCCTAGACTCCCCCTAAAATTCGACTTACCGTCGAGTTGCCTGGCCCCGCCACTCCGCCCCGCCACTTCCGAGAGGCTTACGACACGCTAAATTATGCAGTGCAGCGAAGACACTCCGCGCGAGCCCAAAATGAAGGCAGAGCAAGCAAGTCGATTAGTCGATTACTTAGTCGATTGGAGAATTAGCCGGGCGTCGCAGCGAGCCGTAGCGAGCGCTCTGCGGCCGGCGGGGCGGGGCGGGGCGGGGTGGGGCCTCGCGCACACAGGTCGACACGCGGTGTATTTGCGCCAGTCGCAGCGTGGCCGCGTGTGTGTGCTTCGCGACGAATGATTCAGCCAATCGATGTGTCGCCACGTGACGTGTTTGCAGTGTGCCCGCCGAGCTCTGAGCGCCAACATGGCAGCCCAGTTCGCAGTTGTCGCGGCAGTGTAAAGGCTGCAGTCGGGGGAGGGGGGGGGACGCAAAACGATGAGACCTCCCAGATATTCATCATGCCGAGGATGTGCTGGTGCAAGTGTTATGAGGCGGCTACCCCGCTACGCAACGCTACGCCGCCGGGCCGTGTCTGGCCATGTCGCCGTCGCCATGACAGAGGACCGCGCCCCCACCCCCCTCCCCCTCCCCAAGCCAAGGCTTTTACGACGCGAAAAACGGCTCGCTCGGGCGGCTGCTGCCGCCGCCCCCCTTCCCCCCCAAGCCCAGCGTGGAGAGTGCCCCCACCCCCCAACCCCCCGGACCGCTTTCACCCCTTCTCTCTCTCTCTCTCCCGCCTTCTTTCACGGTCCTCCTCCAGCTTTTTATCAGCCCATTGAAACCTCTGCGCTTCCCTCCCCCCCCTCGCCTCGCGCCCTGCGCGCCCCTGCCTGTACTGCGTGCCCTCTCGAGATGCGGTGCTCGCCCTCTGACAGTTAACCCCCGCGCCCCATCCCCCCTCCTCTCTCTCACTCACTCTCTCCAGGATTGCCTATCTCACAGGGGCAGCAACCCGGGGACTCGGTCAGTCCCCTTGATCCTCCGCACCAAGGTGGAGGGAGCGGCGCGGAGCGAGAGAGACGAGTTTATTCGGGATTTGTACTCACGTGCCGTTCCCATTCAATATCGTGGCGGAGGAGGGGAGGGGCTGGCGAAGCCTCTCTTTCTCTCGCTCCCTCCCGCCGCGAGGCGAGGCTCTCTCTCTCATTCTCCTGCGAGGGGGCGGCAAGTTTTGCGAGCTGTGCGAATAGTGTGTTAGCTACGGCGGCGCGCGGAGGGAGATGTGCTGCTGGCCCTGGCTGGCTGGCTGCCGGAGTGAGATTGGAAAATTACCGCAAACAGTCGCGGTCGTGCGAGCGATGCTGAGTTGGCTCCCGCAAAAAAAACAAAAACGCATCGACTCGTATAGTGTAGGAGTCGAGGCAGGCGGAGGGAAAAAAGAGGGGGGGGGGGATAGGGCCAGCTGAAATCGACCTGTTGGTGTCTTGACTCGGCCGGACGCTAATGTTGGCAGCGCTTCGTGTATGTTTGTTTGTATGTGTGTGTGTGTGTGTGTGTGTGTGAGAGTGAGTGAGAAAGAGAGATAGAGTGTGCGTGGACGCCTAGGAAGACGTGCGCGCTCTGCGGGTGAAGCCAGGCTGAGCTGACCTCGACTAGAGTTAGAACGCAAAGTTTGCAGTATATTATACCAACTTAATGGCGAAAACGTACCTTGCACGTAAATTTATGAAGCAAAGGAAATTTGCGTCGGAAACCCCGTTTTTTCGCAATTAACCACTTTGGTGGTCATGAAGTTTGTCGTGCGTTGTGAAGGGCGCTCCAGCAAGCCCCCTTCGCGGCCCCGTTCGCGGTCGTTCCGGGCCCTTGGCGGGGCCCTCGCGTTAATTACCGGCATCGAACGGGGCCCTTACTCGGAGCCCTGGGCCCTTCCGAGCGAGCCCTGCGCGAGCCCTGGGTTGGCCCAAGTCGCCGAAAACCCGTCGTCACTTGCGCTGAGGCGAGCCGGGCGAGGCCGCGGTAGTCAAACAGGAAAAGGCCACCCCGCCCCACCCCACTCCACCGCGCCCCGCCCCGGTCCGCCTGCTTTGTTTGACTCCGTTCGGCGGCGCGACCCCGCACCGCAACCTTCGCTCGCTTCGCTCGGTGTGCTCAGTGTGGGCGCACACACCCGCTCGCTGCAATGAAGGGAATTTTGTGGGGCAGCTTTCGTACAGCGCACGGGGTGCCCCACTTCCCCGCCAACGCCGCGCCATTCCGTAGGCCCGGCCAGAATCTCGGCTCGGCAGCGAACGGGGAGGGCGCCCCACCAGCCCCATCAGCCCCACCAGCCCCGCCAGCCCCGCCAGCCCCGCCAGCCCCGCCAGCCCCACCAGCCCCACCGCCGGACTGCATAACTACGGAATTCTGCGGAGTCCCTGCTAGGCCGCTCGGCACAACCGCTGAATAATCCGAGAACTCTTGGCGGGAACTGGGGTGACCGCGCGACCGCCGACCAGGACGACCTCCTCCCTCTCGGCCAGCTCGCGGTGAAGTGGCCGCGCAACCTGGCTTCTGCCTTGCGCGTTCCGAGAGTCAGTTTCGCCGCTCTGCCTCTCTCGCACCCGTACGGGACGTCCTATGAGTGCGAGAAGGCGGACCGACGAAAACGACTGTCGGCATCAGTGCGCTGGCTGCTGGTCGGGCCAGTGGCATTTACTCGCGCGTGGCTCTGCTTGCCCCGGGCCCCGTCACTCTTGCGATTGGCGTAGTGCGCTCGTCGAGTTGGATGTCCACTGAAATGCCTTGCGCGTCGACGACCCCCCCCCCCCCCCCCCCTGTCGAGTGTATCATCGCTGTCGCACGTCGCGACGCGTCGCCAGCAGCGAGCGCGCTCTTCCCTTTACCCCTTGCAGCGGGCCAGCGGGCCAGGGGGCTAGCCCGAGCGGGGAGGGGAAAGTTGTCGAATCTGACACGCGGGGCGCGCGGGGCGAATGAGTAGGGTGTGGCCCTGGACGTCCTCGCCCTCGTCGTCCTCGACGGCGCGTCGAACGCCGAACGGCACTAGGGCCAAGTGGAAGTGGAGCGGCAGCAGACTGATTCCGAGAGTCGTCGCTCCGTCTCTCTCGCACTCATGGGGCGTCCCGTGTAGGTGCGAGAGAGACAGAGCGACTCTCGGAATCAGTCTGCAGCGTGATGGATGGGCGAGTTCCTCCGCGTCATCGTGAAGCGAAGCGCCGCGCCGCCCCGCCCACGACTTTGGCACCGCACTGTACCTCTTGTTGTCTTTGTCTTTCAGGTTCAGCGCGCGCTGGGGCCCCCCGCCAACGCGGCGCCCGGCTCCTACACGCCCTTGGTGGCACTGTCCAGCATGCGGCCCCCGGACGGCGGCGCCGCCGGCCACCAGGGCTACATGCTGCACCACAGCCACCACGGCTACCACGGGCCGCCGCCGCCGCACGGGCCCCCTCACGCCGGCGCCCACGACAGCGCCTTCGCCGCCCCCATGCCGCCGCCGCCACAGCCGCCGCCGCAGCACTACCAGGAGGGCTGCCCGCCGCCCTACCCGCCCTACCCGCCGGACAGGCCGCCGCCGTACCAACACCACCAGGACGCGCTGGCCCCCGGAGGGCCTGGAGCACCCGCCCCAGGGTACCACCAAGGTAAGCCAGCCGTCAAGCCAGCTGTCAAGCTATGGCTCCTGCATAAACTATGCGCTCGCAGGCAGGTCTACTGACCTCGACCGAACCGCGCTCGATTCTGCCCTTGTGACCAAAAACTATTCCTAACCAGAGCCAAGCTATACCCTTGGCGGGTTCGTTGCCAGTGAATTTTAAGAAGCTTTCTTATTTTTCACTCGTCTGCCAAAAATTGTTTGGAGGTGAGAAGGCTTTACGCGCGGGAAGAGGCTTCTTGTGGCTCGTCGCGGCTTTGAAGGGGCAAATGGTGTAGAAAATAAGTAGGTTTCTCGCCGTGAACGCTGTGCGAAAAATGCGACTCTCGACCAGACCGATTCCGGAGAGTAATTCTGTCGCTGTCTCTTTTTTACTCATGGGTTGTCCCGGAGGGGTGAGAGAGAGACAGAGCGACTGCTCGCGCCTCTTCACGATCGCTTGGCAGTGTCGCGATCGCGTTACGCCCGTGATTCGTGAGCCACCAGTGTAGCGGCGACCAATCACGCTCGCGTTTCAGCGGTCCAATAAATCAGAGCGACCAGTACCGCGGAAAGCGGAAAAAGCTGCAGCCTTTATAAAAAGGTTTATACAAATGCGGTACAGCGTTCGCGGGACGCGCGGAGTGATTGCTTCTCTTCGTCCGACTCGTTCTGAAAATTTGACATCCTCAGCCGCGCAACGTTCGTGAAAACGGTGGCAAATGTTTGGATTTGCTCCAACGAGAGCTATCGACGCGTGGACGCCGCCGTCGGTTTCCGTGGATAGGCAGTCCCGGGGACGCGGCCGCGGCCGGGTGGCCTACCCGACGGGCGCTCGCCAGCCAGCTGCCCGGTTCCTCGCAGCCCTGTCTCTCTCGCGCCGATGCGGGGCGCCCCATGAGTGCGAGAGAGACATGGGCGGGTAATCCTATCGGAGGCACGCATGGCTGCAGTGCGCGTTTCCCCGGTAGCGGTGACTTCGCAGAAATCCTGCTGTTTTCCGCTTTCGTCCTGTAGCCGCGCTCGCCGAACTGTGAACAGCGTACACGCGTTGTCAGGCGCTTTGGTCTTCGCTTTGCAGTGCGGTGCACTGCGGTGCAGTGCAGTGCTTTGCAGCCCGGCCGCTGCAGAACGGACTCGTCGGCGCGTGGCGGCGTGGCGGCGTGGCGCGGGCCTCAAGTAGAGCGAAGCAGAGCGGGGCCTCGGGCCCGCCGCCGCCGCCGCCTCCGGACTCATAACGGCCCGTACCGTTCCGAGTTCCGACGCCGTGAGCAAGCAGTGGTGCCAACTCACGGAAAGAGTCTCCGTGTTTCGTTGAACCGTGCGGCCCGGCGGCCTGGGCTAGCTGTCGACTGATTCCAAAAGCCGTTTTCGTCGCTCTGTCTCTCTCGCGCCCATTCGTAACGCCCCATGAGTGCGAGAGAGACTGAGGCCGTGGAGGGCGTGGGCGGCGTGGACGGCACGCCGCTTATTGGTCGCCCCTGTCCCTGCCCTCCCTGCCCTCCCTGCAGTTGGCGGGGTTCCCACAGAGCTAGGTAGGGCCCGAGGGCCAGAGAGCCACTGCCAGTGGAGTGACCGGGCCTCCCTGTGCGTTGTGCGTTGCTCTCCCACCGAGCACCTCCAGAAGTGCAGGCTGATCCCGAGAGTAGCTTTCGTCGTTCTGTCTCTCTCGCGCGCATGGGGCGTCCCGTACTGGAGCGAGAGGGACAGTGTGCCGGGCGGGCTGGGCAGGTCGCTGTTTGCGGACATTCCGTGACGCTCGCCTCGCCACCGCCCAACAACGACTGCCTGCTGTCGTAGTGACGGCAGCGGGCGGCTTGCGGTGTGGGCGTCTGCCCGAAACTTAAATGAATACCGCCCCGCCGTTTCCGCCCCCGCCTTGTCTCCGCCGCCGCCACTGTGGTGCTGATTCCTGTCGAGTCACTCGCAAAAGGCACTTGCGGTGTGGGTCCTTGGCCCGCCCTTGGCGCCGCCGTCGGTACTCGAACCCGGGGTGGGGGCGTCGAGGTGTGAAAAGGTTCGATAGGGCTTCGCCGTCGAGCCGTGGCGCGGCCCGCGGCGCAGCGCGACCACGATGACGGACCGCTTGGCGGGGCCGAGCGGTGGGCCAAGTCGGCGTCCGCCGGCGTCAGCCTCAGTGGCCACAGCGGGCCACAGCGCTAAATGCAAACGGCTTGACTCGGCGGCACGGCGGCCGCGCCAAGTCCACCCTGCGCCTTGTCCAGCCCCAGCAGCCCCCCCCCCGAACAACCCCCTCCGCGCCGACGCGCCCCCACCACCAACCCCCGACACGGCAGGCCCGACAGGCAGCCTTCTGCGTCGTACCGACTCCCAGTCGCGAGCGGGATCCCGCCGGGGCCCCTCGCAGAGCACGGCCAGGGCGGCGCGCGCGACGCGGTCCCCGCAAGGACGAGAAGACCGCGAGCACGGCGGAGCGGAGGCGAGACGCGTCGTGGGGACTCGGTGGGCGAACGCAGCGAACGCAGCGCCTCGGACGCCACCGCCGACGACAGCGTGACGTCTTTCATCGGCGTCGCGGCGCCCCCGCCACGGCGCCCCCGCCGCGACAGCCGCGACGCCCCCGGAGAGTGGGGTTATGTTGACGCTCGCCGCCCGCGCGCCTGGGGCCGAGCCTGGGGCCAAGCGGGGGCTGTGCACGCGGAGGGCCCCGACGTGGCGCGGCCAGGCGGATCGGTGAGGCCCTGCCTTTCAATGCAGCACTTGTTGTCCTCGCGCGTGACGCGGCGTGACGCCCTGCGACGCCCCGCCATGCGGCAAGCCATGCGGACTCTGCGCACCACGGAGCAGGTTAGGCCTACTTTCTTGGCGCGCCAGGGCGACTTGCTGCTGCTCGCGCTCGCGGGCTCGGGTCAGCCCAGTGTGTCAGCCCACGGGCACCGCTCGGCGCCTCGGGGCCGAAAAGTATAAAAGGCTCTCGAACGGAAAGTCGGCTTGACTTGTTGTTCACCTGATGAAAATGGTGAGTCGGAAGAAGCCTCAAGCAGTTTGATAACATTCCCGACAGCTCCACAAACGCACAAACGCGCTTGCGCACACACACCAATACAAACACACCAACACACCCACACTCACACACACACACACACACTCACACACACACACACACACACACACACTCAAAGCGGTCTGACTCGACGTGTTTGTGTGAGGTGCGAGCGCTGAAAAGCCCATGTCGCCACCAATTAAAATACTGAAAAGAAATGGCGCTCCTTTGAAAGGCGCTCCAGCTCCAGGCCGTGGCTTTTGCTCCGGCCACTAAGCCGACCGACTGACTCGCAGCACGAAGCGGCGCGCGTGACAATTCGACGGCCATTCAGCGGAACACTTCCCAAACCTCGGGAACCTCCGCGAACCTCGCTGATTCCCGTTTCGCGTTTTGCCTCCTTGTTCGCGGTTCGCGCCGCGCGGCAACGAACCAGCGGCCCCCTCGACGATTCACCCCCTCCTCGCGGTGCTCCCTGCCCGCCCCTCCGCGCCCCCCGCGGCCCCCTTTTACCGTCATTTGTACCTGTCGCGGCGCACGGAGTGAATCCATATCACGGCGCGCACGCCGTTACAAACCCATTTCGCACTGTAGGACCCCCGGCCCGCGTGGGTTCAGGAGGCGCCTCTTCGAAGTCGCTCGCGCGGCTCGCGCCCCCCGAGGGGCACCGGGGGCGCGGGGGCCGTGGCCGAATGACGTCATCATTAAATTTTTTCGGCCTGCGTTTCAAAGTGCCGAATTTGCGGCCTTTTTCATGGGTTTTCTTTTGCGCGGCGCGCCCGAAGGCCCGCAACCAGCGCGCCACCATGGTGCCGCCATGGCGGCACGCGCCGCGCTGTCGGGTGTCGCCTCGTCTTCGTCGCTCTGACTCCCCTTCTGTCTCTCTCGCCCCAACGGGAACCCCCGTGCGTCGGAAAGAGATAGAGGCTCCCTGTTTCAGTAGAGCAGTCCCCGTATCGAGCTGTCAGGAGTGAAATTAATCAAGTTCGCGGGAATGCCGCTCTGGTGCACTGCTGCAGTCCGGTGGCGACCTCGTCGGCGAGCGATGGCCGCGGTCACCACACCGTTCAACTCAAGTTGTTTTCATTTTTCTTTCGGAGCGTGCGCGAACCCGCTGATTTGATAAACTTTCCCGCGGCCGGAAACGATTCAATAATAAATGCGGGCGGCGGTGGAGTCGCGGGCGAGGCAGCAATTACGCCACAGTGTGCCGTCCCGGTGGCCACCCTGCCGCTGCCAGTCGCCGAGAGCCCTGGCAAGGATTAGCCGGCCTGTATGCCTTGATTACGTTGCCGCGCACTTGTCGTACTTGCGGAGGAGCGGCTGCACTGCGGAATCCCCCCAATAAATACTTGTAAAAACTAAACTCTCTCTCTCTCTCTCTCTCTCTCTCTCTCTCTCTCTCTCTCTCTCTCTCTCTCTCTCTCTCCCTCTCTCAAACTTCGCCCCCAACAGGGAAGTCCGGCGGCCCGCTCCGTTTCTTCGGAAAGCGCGTCCGGGATCGCGCTCCCATTTTCCTTTTTCCGTTTTTTTTTCCTCGCCCGTTCGCCGGTCTTGAAAGTGCTGCAGCGCAAACTCTGCTGACAGGCCCCCATTATGTTTTTGCCTGGAAAATCGGTCAGCTCTAAAAGGGGCCCCTGCTCCTTGTCAGTGCCCCCCGCACAGCCCCGCGCAGCCTGCGGCCTGCTTCACGCCTTACGGTGTATCGACATCCGCTCGCCGACGCCCAGGGGGTGCAACCTTAACGCACCCTGAGCAATTTTTGTAATTTTGTGCTGTAATCGATTAGATCTAAAAACAGTTCCCCAGTACAGGATAACTCAAATTTTATCTCTAGCCGTGTCCGAGATTATGGCCGCCCAATTCCCCAATAAATATGAAGTTGGCACGCCCGGGCGACGCCTTCTTGTCCTTGCAGTGGCGCGGCGTCCACCAAGCGACCGGGGGAGGGGGTACTTCTTTGGGGAAGGTTTGTTGAAGTTTGCCAAGCGGTGCACCCAGCGCGTCTGAGGCGTAGCAGAGCGCGGAGGGAGCGTGCCGGCGGTGGCGAAGATTACACGGCCATTGCCTTAACTAACGTGGGCCAGTGAGGAAGTTTAGACCCCGTCACACATTTAGTGCCCCCCCCCCTCTTCCCTCCGTTCGCTGACTTAATCACCAAATCGACTGTTGTTGTTGTTGTTGTTGTTTTGTTTTGTTTGAGCTCCTCCACGCAATACGGCCGGAAAATGGTCTTGGAGGGGACAGGAGACCTGCATAGGAATGATGCAGCAGGAAAAGGTTTTCCTCGCTCGTTTACATTTTAGTGAATGTTTCAGGAAGCGCGTTCGTATCGACCCGAGACATAAATTTCGAGAGGTGATGAAAACCACGCACCCTGGGAGTTCCTTTCTTCAAACCGTTTCCCAACTTTGATTTTTTTTTCGTGGTTACTGAACTTGAAAAGAGCTCACCTGCAACGCTTAAGTCGCAGGAACAGAAGCTGAAAACCAAACGGACCTCCTTTCCGATTCCGACCGCCTGGAAGGCGCGTGGTCAGCCCGGCCCGAGGCCCGGCCCCCTGCCGAAACCTATTCGAGTCGCGTGACTCGAGACGATTACTGCCCCCCCCCCCCGGGCCGTTTACCTCCAGGTGTAAAAATTACACTCGCCTGTTTTTACTGTGTTGTCGTTATTATTTCACACGGCATTTAGAGCACAGTGTACTTAGGGCTGCAGTGGGTAGAGACTGGCGGGGCGCGGGGCTCGCAATGTGTTGCTCCGTAATGCGCCATCAACCACTGTTTGAGGCCGCTGCTGCCGCCGCCGCTGCCACCCCCGCGAGCGTGGGCCGTGGGGGAGGCTGTTTCTGCCAGTAGACTGGCCTCGCCTCGGCTGCTCGCCCCCCCCCCTCTCCCACCCCAGCGGGGCCGCGCGAGAGAGTTAAACAGGTGCTGCATAATTTTCCGTGATTTATCCCCCCAAGTTGGGCTTAATGAATTCTTGCGGCTGCGCGAGTTTGTAGCGATTCGCACGGTGACGTCATTGTCGGTCACTTTGTCCGCGGGAAATTGGAGGGGGAAGTTGATGACGCGGCTCCCTTAATGCGTCGGCTGATTTAAAAGTCGCTCATTTCTGCTTTTCGTTCTCCTTCCACTGTAGTGGCTTCGTTTGGCGTGTACTGTATGCAGATCCGTGGCCAGGCATGTGCAATGTGTGCCGACGAGAACGCCTCACTGACTGCTCGCTCATGACTGCTGCGGCGGATCGCACGTGTCTCTGTAAACTGCTGCTCGCCCTTACTCAGCGACACACTGCGGCACTGGTCATCAAAGGCTATTAGCGGAAAACGACTTTCGACTCTTTGAAAACCAGCGCGTGACAGTTATTTATATTTGGTAACGATTCCTCGACAGTGCGCTGATTTCTGAACATTGACTGCCAGCGGCAGCGGTGTGGTCTTCCGAAGCTTTTCTTTTGCAAGTAGTGCGTGCGAAGTGCGCCGTCTAAATTAGACTGTCCCGGGGGGGGGGACTTTGATATATATGGGACGCCGTTTTTCGGAGGTGCGTGGTTTGACCGGGCGCGCCTGATGAAGATGGAACAAGGGGCAAGGGGAACGTAAGCCTTCTGACACGGAGCGCGCCCCCACCCCCTTCCCCCTCCCCTCTCCGCCCCCTCGCCTGATTAATTCAGTCTCCGAGTTTGCACAGCCAACGACACGGCAATAACTCGTCACCTCGCTTTACCCCGCCTTACCTGGAATCCCCGCGCGGTTTTTGCAGCTTTGGAGAGCACCGAACAAAGTTCACCACTCCGGTGCGCCGCGGCGCTGCAGTTGGAGAGCTGATGCGTCCTGCTTGCTTTTGTTGTTGTTGTTGTTGTTGTTGTTGTTCGTAGGATTGAGCCTGGATGAGGTGAAGCACGCAGTCTGCGCTCCTGATTTTGTCCGACCCGGGAGGCGATATTCGGCGGAGCGAAGCCTGTGTTACGCAAGACTTACTCTGGCGTGACACACTTTTTGGAACGTGTTGCGCAATGTCACGCTGGCGTTCGCCGTGTTTATCAATGAAGCGGAAATGCGGTCGGCACAGCGGAGGATTGCTGGAGATTGTTTGTTAGGCCCCTCGGATTCACTTCGGCATACAGGCCCGCGCTCCGAAAACAACGGAGAGGAATAAAGGAAACCTAATTCTCGGTTCCCATTCGTCTTGCTCCCAGCGGACCCGCCTGTCCCACTGCACTCCGGGAAAGAGTTGACGGAGTCTCCGGCAGGGCGCGCTGCCGTGCCCCCGGTTCATCTGGCCCGCGGCCCACCCACTGCACAGTGGGCCAGAAGACCGGTGGAGGCGGCCAAAATCCCGGACCTCCAGAGTCGCCAAATGGGGCTCGAATCGAACGTGTGTCCCCACCAATGGATTGCTCTCCGAACGAGGAATCCAATGGTGGGGTCACACGCTCTGTTGGAGTCCCATTTGGCGACTCTGGAGCTCAAAACGCGTCTGGAGTTTCGGCCGCCTCCGCCGGTCTTCTGGCCCACTGTGCACCGGAGAGGCCTCGTGGCCGCCGTGCCGCCGTGCCGGAGGCCTCCGCCTGGTGACGTGATTGTCATCTCTGCCGGAACTGGCCGAGGTATTCATGAGCCGCGTATTCATGAGCGGGCATTATCGAGTGCACGGCCTCGTCGTTTGTCTTTGTGACGCCCGAAAAAAGGAGAAACAACCAAAAGAAACTCGTGGGCTCGCCTGCTTAATGACTTTTCCCGAATTTAAAGCGAGATTCCGAACGTCCCCCCGACTGCACCTCGTTTCCGGGCGGCGCCCTCGCAGTGCCCTGTCGACAACGCGACTCAGAACGCGTCTTGAGCTCTGCGCTCCATGTGTCCACGAGTCACTGCCACTTCCAGTGCGGGCGCAAACACGAAGCCAGCGAAGCCAGCGAAGGCGGCCGAAAGATTTACTGGTGTGGCAGTCCTGGCGGAGTGGCGTGGCGGCGCTAGGGACCTGTTCCCTGGAAGGACATGCATGCAAGCCCGGCCCGGGCCGGCCCTACCAGTGGCCCTGCCCGTACGGCGACAGGCGCGGCCCAAGTTTTGATTACTAGCAACATGCGTGTCGCGTGGCGCTCTGCGTCGTCCGCGAACCAGAACCAGGGAACCCGGGTTAAACTTTCGATGGTCTCGATTCCCGCGTGACTCCTGCGGCCCACCACAGTGGGCCAGACGACCGGTAGGGGCGGCCAAAACTCGGAACGCGTTTTGAGCTCCGGAGTCGCTTAACAGGACTCGAACCGAACTTGTGACCCCATCAATGGATTCCTCGTTCGGAGAGCAATCCATTGGTTGGGTCACACGCTCGGTTTGAGTCTTATTTAGCGATTCTGGAGCTCGAAACGCGACTAGAATTTTGTCCGCCTCCGCCCACTGAGCCCACCCCTACCTGACCCCTAGGGGGGCTCCCCCGGGCCGACGATCGAAACAGGGGCGTTACAGGCGAACAGCGTTGTCCTTGTCGTTACGCGGACGATAGAGAAGAATCGGCTTTTAAAAGGCGCAGGTCTTTTCGAACCGCCACGGACTTGTTTGGCGCGCTTTAGGGGTGTTCTTGACCACTGGTGACGCTCTGTCTCCCTCGCTCCCCCGCGGGACGCCCCATGAGTGCGACAGTGACAGAGCGACGGGGCGATGCTCCGGAATCAGGTGGCAGGGGATCTCGCCCTCGCCCCCCTCGGCTAGATGGATCGTCCAGCCGGCCGGGCTGTGTAAGGGGACAGTCCTGACGCAAATGTCTGGAGCGAAGTAAACTTGTTGGAAAAGTAGTTCACAAGAGGTGTGATGCTCACGAGCTGCAATGCTTCTGCTTCGGACACATCGCATGTCGGCCTGCAGTCCGCACTGTGCGTTGCCTCGCGTGCACGAGCAGGCGCCTCCCAGCAACTGGATGGCCGTGTCGAGAGGCTCACGTCCTGGCGTCTGCATTCGCAAAACCCGAAAACATAAAGTGCAGCCAAATGCGAAACGGAACCAGAAAACCAGCTGCGAAAGGGAGTGCATTAACGTTAAGTGTGTTGTGAGCACGCCGGGGTCCCTCCTGAGGCCCTGCATGGCCTGCAGCCCGATCCGCCGGACCAGCCAGACCGCCACCTGGCCACACAGTACACTGTTAGGGCACCTGCCGGCCAGCCTGCACACTAGTCCTCTTTTTACACCTCCCTAACCCCTCTCACTGCTCGCAGCGTCACGGCGAGGGCGGCCTTAACGACCCGTGTTTGCTCAGGCTGAGCCACCGTAAATAAAAACCAATTGGTGGCGGTAACCGACACTTTGCTTTTCGGGAGCGGTGACGCATTTCGGAGCGCAAACTTTTGAGCGAAAATTTGAGCGGCACGTGCTGTGCTGCTCGCTGGCTCCGAGTGCCTCGTCGAGCGCAGCGACAGGGTATCATTCGATTGATCGTGTAGTCGATGGCGTTAATTATTTGCGGGATGACCCCGTTTGGGGCCCGTCGTCCGCCGTCGATATTTACTTGTGAACCCTTCCTTCCCGGGCCCGGCGTATGCATGAGGCGCTCCGGGGCCGAGCGGCCGAGGCAGCACCTGGCGAGGACACCTGTCCCGTTTCCGGTATCGCCCGGCCCTTCCCGGCAGCCCTTGCGGCCCTCGCGGCCCACGTGTCGTTTTCTTTTTACCCGCCTCGCACTCCGTCGTCCTCGTCGCGCTGGCAGTACCGCCGCACGCGATGCCGGCAGGGCGTCGATGGGTGCCCCCTCGGGTCCCTCGGGTCTCCCCATCAAGACAGGGGCCGCGCTGCTCCTCGTCACAGTCACTTCAGTCAAGGCGTAAATAATGCATCGTGCACACTATCGTGCACTGCTTGTACAATTTTGCAATCAATACTAAATTTTCAAAAAATTTAAGTTTAAAAAAATTGATGAGAATGAGAATGAGTTAGTCATTCTAGCAGGTCATTCGAAGCAATTGGTTCAAGGCTTTCTTCCTACATTAACTCCATAATGTGATCTCTCCGATCAGAGAAACTGGCTAAGCGATTTTGCGAAATGCACAGCAGCAGCTTGGGGCAGTCCTGGTGGCCTCGGCCCGGCTCGGTCAAGCCGTCAGCTCCGCTCGGCAAGGGCCGCTGGAGATAGCATCTCGCATCGCGGTCGGGGAGGGGGAGGGGGGGGGGGGAGGCGGGGCCCAGGGGACGAGCCGGCGGCCCTCGAGCACCACTGTGTCAATTAGCGTCGCCAAACGGTGTCAAAGACAGGACGCACTTCACTTTGCATCAAAATTGCCGACCGGTGAAAGAAAACTTTCAACACATTTTCATATGCGTATTTAACGCTGTCTAGAATTTTGACCGCCTCCACCGGTCTTCTGGCCCACTGTGCTGCGCCGCCTGTTATTCCGTGGGCTGGCGAAGAGCTTCCTCGAGACAATGGCGGGGCCGCTTTTCCTCGTTCTTTGCTCTAACCTCGGCACTATGTTCTTCTGTTTCCAGGTGAGTCGACGAGCAGGCCGACGCAGCGCGAGTGTGAGTGGACCAGAGATTATGGATACGCCTCGCTCCCCGTGCATGCGCCAATAAGCTTTCCACGCTTTGTCTCTGGATGATGCTTCGATTCCGTCAAACTATTTTCCAGTGCTTTTGACGTCCGACAGACTGTTTCCCGATGCCCAGAAACGAAGGAAAGTCGAATATAATTGGCTCTCTGTATTCAACTCGGTGAAACTCCAAAAAATGGGTTTACACCTCCGAAAGTTTGACCGCGGTGCGTTTGGGGCCGGCCCGCGGTTCGCGCGGAAAGCGTTGCCGCACCGCTAACTGAGCTCGGTTTGCTTCCACTGCAAAACACGTGATGGACTGCCGACAAACTCCACGACTCCGCAGGTTCAATCAATACTTGGCGCAACTTTTTTTTTTCACGAGGTTGTTGTAATAGTCGCACCACGCGCTCTACCGTGCCCGTCGGTACAACGCGGCCTGCGCGCGGCGGCTTAGCCTGTTTAGTGTGACTGGCCGGCCGAAAAACGCGCAAAGCCCACCTGCGCCCCGGTCGGCACGGTCGGCACGTAGGCAACCCAGCCGAGCGTTCAGGCGAGTACCCCGGCCCTTTCACGGCGTGCTAACGACCAAGCCGAAGGGGGACCGAGTCCAGCAGACTGATTCCGGGAGCAGGGCGCTCGGGGGGCGCACAGTGGGCCAGAGGGCCGGCGGAGGCGGCCAAAACTCTAGACGCGTTTTTGAGGTGCAGAGTCGCTCAATGGGGCTCGAACCGAACGTGTGACCCCACCAATGGATTGCTCTCCGAACGAGGAATCCACTGGTGGGGTCACTTGTTTGGTTCGAGTCCTGTTTATACCAACTGTGGAGCTCGGAACGCGTGCAGAATTTTGGCCGCCGGCGCCTCCGGGACGGCAGGACTGGACTCGCAGGGAGGCCCTCCCAGGCCCTTCCAGGATGACACCGGGGTGCCGCTCGGGGGCCGCTCATACGCTTACAGTAATTCACCTTCGTATTATCGACCATGCCCCCCCCCCTCCACTTCGCCGCGCTGCTTTGCGTACGGCCCAAGGGACGCTCTGCCACGCCCCGCCACGCCCCGCCACGCCCCGCCGCGCCGCGCGCGACCACAGAGAGGCGCCACGCCGCGCCGCGGGGAGGAACACAAGCCGTGCTCAACAACGTGGTCATTGCTGTGCCTCTGGAGAAAGTGTCGGGGCGATGGTGAACCCTAGGCCGAAGGGGCGTTTCGGGCGTTTCGCACTTTTATTTGAATGAGTGCACCAACTCAGAGGCCTCTCTTGTCACAAGTTTGGAGATGGTGCAATATCCGACTGCTTCGTAGATCCGCCCGGTGACGAGTCAGCCAACGCATAGCATCGCATGCAGGCCTGGTCCTGCTCGCGGAGTGGAGCGTGGCGCCGCACTGAGCACTCCGCTCACCCGATACGCCAGTGAGTCACATCAAAAGCGCAGAGGATCTTTTCGTCGCTCCGTCTCTGTCGCACCCACTGGGCGAGAGAGACAGCCTTGGCGGCCGAGAAAGGCAATCGAGGCGGCCGAGGCTGGCCTACCTCCCAGGAGCTCCGGTATTTGTTTGTTTGTTTGCCTTGGAAGGCGCTAATTTATTCGTCCGACGACGCCTGCAGACTGATTCCGAGAGTCGTTTTTCGTCGCTCTGTCTCTCTCGCAACGCACGGGCTGCCCCTTATGGGTGCCAGAGAGACAGAGCGACGAGAAGGACTCTCGGAATCAGTCTGCTGGCGCAACTTTGACGCGAGGGAGGAGGAGGGGGGGGGAATTCGGCAGCTGAAAGCAGCCAGTCCGCGACTCGCTCGAACGACCCATCCAATATGCGACTGCGGCTGCAAACAGCTCCATTCATTTGCTCCGTTCGTGCGCGTGGGCGGTCAAGAAGATAACAGCGTGGAAAAGGGGGGAGGGAATTCCGCCGAACCGCGGAGGAGTATCGCGACAGGTCCCTTTTCCTCATTCAGTCGCCGATCTGTCAGCTGGGCTGCTGCGTTGCTGTCAGCAGGGCAGCGCGTGCTCCAGCCATTCTGCATTCAGAGAGGGGGGGGGGGCGACAGGGGTTTAGTTTGTTCCACCGAAAATTAGTTCATAAATCACAGAATATTTTGTCTGCAAGCTTAGCTCATGTATGGCCAAAATACTTTGCTGTGACCAGCTACTTTTTTGTCCGTGTGGCCTAAAATAGTCTGTAAGGTCTTGAGAGAGAGAGAGGCGGGTGACCCAAGGTCACGTGGCGTCCGTCCGACATGCCACTGACTTGCCTTTGCCGGTGTGGGATTGGGCCGTGCCGGTCCGTGCCATGAATTATCAACCAGGCTCTGTCGTGGCCGCCTCACCGCGCTCGCCGCCGCCGGGGCATCAGAAATGCAAGCGCGATCCAGGCCTCGGCGTCGCGGCCCGGAGTGCCCGGAGCAGAGCTCGGAGCAGAGGGGCGACGACGGCGTGCTTGCTTGACCTTCACACGTGAGACACACTGGCGGCGATTCCGGCCCGGGGTCCGTACGTAAAGCGGCGAGGCGGCACTGCCAGGGCACTGCCAGGGCACTGCGAGGCGTAATGGTGAAAGCGACCTCGTAAAGCAAGCCGCTCGGCGCCGCGGCGGACGCCGGGACGGGACGGCCGGGACGGCCGGAACGGACGCCCTGCCCCTCCCCCTCCCCCTCGCCTTGCCGCCGCGACGAACCGAAGGCCCCGAAGGCCCGACGGACGGCGGCCCGAACTGGGCCGAACCGGGGCCGAAGCCAGAATGACGAGACCGAAAAAGTGCATCGGTGAGAGAGCTCGCGGGGAACCCTTTTCCTGACGTACGCGGGGGAATGCGTGCGGGGCGCGCGCCAGCCGCTCCGTTTACAAATATTTGGGGGCCTTATCCCGACAGAGAGACATCGTTACGCATGCGGCAACTTGCCGGTGTGTTGTTTCTTTGTTTCTGGTGGGGTCGCTGGCGCGCGTCCCCGCCAAGCAGCCGTCAAGCGGCCGCCAAGGGAGAGGGGCCGTGTGCCATTGACGCGAGTCCGGCGGTGCATGCTCTATGCCACTCCACTGCGAGGCGGGGCGGGCCGGCCGGCCGGTCGGGTCCAGCACCGCGTCGCCGCGTCGCCGCCGAGGCGGCCGAGGCCGTGGGAAGGACCGGCAGCCCTTTGTCCAGGCCGCAGGGCCGCGGGCGAGGCAGGCCGATGCTCTCGAGGCCGGCGTCGACGTCGTCCTGGCGAAACCGCCACGCCACCAGCGGGCTCATTCCGCGATCACTCTTCGCTCTGTCTCTCTCGCACGCACTCGCTGCCGTGGAGCCAGTGGACCGATCTCGTCGCTGTCTCTGTCGTTGACCGTCTCGCACCCCGTCGAAGGGGTGCGAGAGAGACAGGGCGACGAACTGATGCTTCGGAAACCGTCGACTGGTGCACCGGAAAGTGAAGTGCTGTGTACTATGTACGCAGTGCGGCTCGCGGCCTCGCGGGCTCAGGGCTCAGGGGAGTTTCATCCAGTGAGTGTGTTGAGGGATTCCGGAGCGGGCCGCGGCGGCTCAGGGATGATCCATGCGTGTGTGACGGTGACGGCGATAGGATCAGCGTGAGGGCCCGGAGTGGGGGGCGCGAGCTGACGGTGTTTTGTGACTGCAGCACAAACCTCGCGTCGGCGAGGACCTCGCGCGCGGCGCCTCTCGTGCGCAAGCCAATCATTGACAAGTCCAAGGGACTGTCGGGGGCAGCCCGGGGCGGGTCAGCTCAGGACGACCCTCTTGACCGCCCCTGGGACTGCGGGCAGCAGATAACCGGCTGGAAGGCAGGCAGGGCAGGCAAGGCCGAGGCGAGCCGCCACGGAAGTAGGATGTCCTGCGACATGTCGTGTTTACGCCGCGTCGCCGCGCAAGAAGTTTGTTCGGGAAGCTTCCGTAGCGGCCCGCCTGCCCGGCCTGCCCCGCCGCGCCGCGCCGCGCACCGCGGCCGTCGTGTCAGGGAGGCGGGGCGGGGCGGGGCGGGGCGGCGTGCCCACGGCACCGCGACCGCGCTCCGCTGCCAGCCGCTCCTTCCCTCGCCGCCCCGCGCACCGCGCCCCGCGCCTCGGTGGCAGCCGGCAGTGCCGCGACGTGCCGAGCCGCGCCGACTAGCCGCCAGCCGAGCCGAGTCGCGCCGGACCGAGCCGAGCCGAGCCACGGCGGTTGGAGCCGGCCCGGCCAGTACACAGGCCCGGCAGGCCCGGCAGGCCCGGCCTCACAGACACGACACACAACAACCAGTTCACGTTCACCAGTTGAGTTGGATCGCTCGCGCAAGGCGGTCGCGTCGCCTCGACAAGCCGTCTTGATGCGCCGAGCCGTCGCCGTCCTCGGAGGACTCGGTGGGGCCGTGCCGCGCTAGCCGCGAAGCCGCACAGTCAAGTGTCTAGCAGTGTGGCAGTCCAGCCCAGCTGCTTCCGGGTCCGGGCGTCTGTCCGTCCGCCTGTCTGTCCGCACGCGCCCCCCGAACCGTCGCGCTTTCGCGTGCTTAGGCGTGCTTTCGCCACCACGAGGATACACGGATACAAGGATACAGTGCTCCAGTGCCAGTGTGTGAGTGCGTCAGTGCAGTGTGAGTGCGTCGTCGACGTCGTCGTCATGAGAGGCAGCAATGCGTCCGTGCATCGCGCGTGACTCCATGGAGAAGCAGGGCAAGCAGGGCCTCGACCTGTCCACTGGCTCGGGGCTGTCCGGCCTCCACGGCCTGCAAGGCCTGCAAGGCCTGCACGGGGTGCACGCCCTCGCCTCCCTGCCCCCCGCCAGCCCCTTCGGGGCCCTTGGAAGCCTAGGCCCCTTCGGCCGGGCCGTGGACGCGCCGCCCTCGCCCGCCACGCTCAACCTGAGCGTCAACGTGCCGCTGTCGCAGTCCTCGCCGTCGCAGCACCAGCTCCGCGAGATCCTCCTCGCGCAGCTTATCCGCGGTAAGGCTGGCCGACGAACGGGGCCCTGCTGGCCCTGCCGGCCTGCCCCCTGCTCAGGCCCCTCAGTGTGGCACCGGCACCGCGCGCGCCGCGGCCGCTACGCCGTGCTACGCCACGGAGATCAACGGATGCCAGCTATTTTCACCGGCGCCGCCGTGGCCGCGCTGTGCCCGCCCCGCCCCGCCCCGCCGCGTCTCTCCTTGGGCCTCTCGGGCCGAGCGCGCTCCGACGCCGCGCCGCCGCGCCGCCGCCCCGCCGGGCCCCAAATAGTCGGGACGAATCCCGGCCACGCCCCGCCACGCCCCGCCACGCCCCGCCACGCCTCGCCTCGGTCCGGACGGACGCCGCCGCGCCGCGGCACTGCCGCCACGACGACCCACCGCAAGCACTGCGTCATTGACCACCATTGACACGTCGCTGGACGAAGCGACGCTCCAGCCTCCTTGTCGTCGCCCCTAAATGTCGCCCCTCCCCTCACGCATCGCGATGACGTCACCGTCAGCGTGCGACTCGCCGTGACGTGCCCGTCGCGCAGGGGTTGGGCCGACGCCGAACGCGGCGAACGGACTCGGGTCGGGGAAGGCCAAGGTCGTCAAGGCCGCGGTGCAATGCTTTGCCGCATCGCGCCTGCCTGCCTGCCTGCCTGCCTGCCTGCCTGGCCGCCGCTCGATGCGGCCCAAAGCCGCGGCCAGCCATTCATTACTCGCATTGACCGAAGTGTGACAGTGTAGCAGCCCGCAGTGCGGCGCGGCGGCCACGTCGCCAGTGGCGGTGCTGGCGGGCCACGCACGGCCTGCCAGGCCACGCCGCCACGCGGCCCGGGCGATGATTAGCAGCTGTGATTGGCCGCCGCCGCCTTGACGGGCTGGTCGAACCGGCGGCGCGTCGCTTCGCACACAGTGGAAGCGCTCCGCCAGTGTACTTACCAGACTGCCAAAAGGAGGAATACCTATAGTAGAACTAATGCACGACCGCGTGTGCCAAAGCAGATGCCGCCCCGCCCCGCCGCGCCCCGCCAGCGAGCAGCATGGCAGGCTGCCAGAGGCGCTCCAAGGCTGCATCGCCGTGGAGCCCAATGAGGCCGAGCTCTTTGTTTTGGCGTGGGGATCCACAGTCCCCGTCCAGGCCGCCCAATCCCTGGCCCGGAAAAGCGCCCCGCCCGCGTGGACGCCGTGTGGACACTGTAGACTCTGTCTGGCGCCGCTCGGCGCTCGGCGTCACAAAGCGGTCGCAGCAGACTCATTCCGAGAGTCGTCGCTCTGTCTCTCTCGCACTCGTGGGGCGTCCCGTGTAGGTGCGAGAGGGACGGCGGCGAAAACGGCTCTCGGAATCGAGGGCGAATCGGTGCCCCAGTAGCGAGTCGTCTGCCGCCGTTTGAAACGTGAAGCCGGTGCTAATGCATCTGTAATGCGTGCCGCGGGCGAAGCGCGACGCGCGACGCGACGGCTCCTGGTCATGGCGGGCCGGCGGCTTCCGCGGCCTCCGCAAAGCAGGGCCGTCGAGGGACGTTCTGATATGGAGAGCGGCCAGCGGCACGGCAGCAGACTGATTCCGAGAGTCGTTTTCGCCGCTCTGTCACCATCCTCGCACCATGAGTGCGAGGCAGCCAGAGCGACGAAAACGACTCTGGTCTGCAGTACGGCAGTCGTTTGGGGGCATGCTAGACCACCGAGGCGCAGCGTGGCGCAGCGACGCCCAGCCCGGCCGCGTGCTTCCCGAAAACATGTTTGCGTGACGTCAGTTTGTTGTTCTGGTGTCGTTACGCCCCGAGGAGGGGCGGCCCCCGCGGCCCCCGCGCCCCGCACTCGAAGAAGGACTGGCGCCGTCGGCGGCACAGTGTGCGTGGGGATCGCCCGCAGACCGATTCGCTCTGTCTCTCTCGCACCCGTACGGGACACCCCATGAGTGCGAGAGAGACAGAAGCAACCCCGGTGGCGAACGGCGAGTCCATGGGAGGGACCCTCTGGGGCCGTGAAGCAAATAATTGTCCATTTGGAGACAAGCGAGGCGTGGGCTTGGCGGTACGGCCACAACGTCCCCCCCGCGGAAAATGGGTCCTGCAATTTGAAAAATTGGTTTGGCTACGAGAGTCGGACGCGGTGGCGTCGGCAAGGAGGCGGTGGTGACAGGGAGACGGAAACTGGGCGGGCCCGGCTGAAATTGCACAGCAGCGAGATGGACAGTGGAGGCCCGTCGCAAAAATGAACGTCTCGCGTTTAGTCTTCTCTCTACTTACGGTGGACGTTCTACTGCAGTGAGTGCTGCCGCGGGGCGTTCTTATGGGTGCGAGAGAGACAGAGCGACGAAGACGACCCTCGGAATCGGTCTGCTGACTTGCCATTGGCCTGTTTTCGGACCCTGAATACACGTGTGTCACTTTGCACGGCTTGGTTTGACCGGCTTCCGTCGCGTACGTGTTATATCCTTGGACGGAATCTGTTCTCACCGACACGCCGGCACTGCCTGTGTTTGTTTGTACCTGTGTGTGTGTGTGTTCTGTCTAAATGTGTGCGGGCGCGTTTGGACGAGGAAATCGCGCCCCGTTCCGATAGAATAATCATTCGCCGCAACACCACCAAATGGGATGAAAACAACAAAGCGAAAAAGGCGCGTCGGCGCGCCGTGATTTGCTCCAGAGGTGTTCGCATTTTAACCGCATCGCCGCGCGCCGCGTCTGTATATAATGCGAGTACAGTACCACGTTTGGAACATTCTGAAAAATATTTGGTTGATGTTGTTGTGGGGAACGCGCAGGCACGACGGAGGAAGGGAGAGCTTGAGGACCTTACTCGCTTTTGTGTATTCACTGCGGCCGGCCCGGCCAGCCCGCATGTCTCTCGTATTAGCATCGGCGCCCCTCTCTGTCCGTGAATGTGTGTGCGTGTGTGTGTGTGTGTGTGCGTGTGTGTGTGTGTGTGTGATGCAAGGCTTCGTTCACTCCCCCATTCTCACTCAGTAGCCATCCGTCCTCCTTCCTTTTCGTCTCCTTGCTTGCCCTTCTCGCCTGGCCGTGTTGCTCGTGCGGAACGCACACGCTCTCTCTCTCTCTCGCTCTCTCTCTCTCTCTCTCTCTCTCTCGCTCTCTCTCTCTCTCTCTCTCTCTCTCTCTCTCTCTCTCTCTCTCCCTCACGCGACGTGGCGTCGTGGTGTCCGGCGGAGAGGCCCTTCAGGGGTGCCAGTCATGCTGAGTTTGCGCCGCGTGTGTGTTTGTGTGTGCGTGTGAGGGAACGGGGAGAGCGGCGTTGTAATTCCCAATGATTAATACCAGCCGCTTTGGCGCCACTCGAGTTTGAGTTTTGTCCGGGCAAATTTTTTTTGACGGTCCCATTTGACGCGCCGGCACACTGTAACGTAGAGTACCATCGGCCGTAAATACGTGCATGATCTTTATGTCTTGGCCCCGTGCCCTGCCGATGAAGTGCACGACGGCGAACGCGAGAGGAGTCACTGCGGCGATCAGCTAATGGGAGGCGGCGGTCGCGAGAATTGGACTCATCAGTCGTGTTGTGTAGCGGTTTCGCGGCCCGCGGCAGCAGCGACGCCTGCTTCAAGCGGTGAGAGGGTGCGCGGCGGCGTGGCGCGACCCTCACGACGACGCGACCCTTCGCGCCCTCTGTTTCCTGCCCGGGCCGGCTTCCCTCCCTCCCTACCTTCCGCTCCGGCCCGTGCTGTCTGCTCTTCCCGCGCGCCCTGCTGTTCCTGCGCTGCTGTTCCTGCGCTGCTGTTCCTGCCCTGCTGTTCCTGCCCCACTCTTCCCCCCTCCCCCCCCCCGGTGGCTGCCGGCCACTCGATACTGCCAGGCGCCGTGTCGTACACACGGTGGTACCCGCTGGCGCGGCTGGCGCTGGCGGTGCCCCGTGGCGATGCCTCGGCATGACAGCGTGTTCGCGGCGACGCCAATCCCCTCGAGAGGCGTTCGGTCCCCGCCGCGCCGCGCCGCGTCGCGTTGGGTTTGTGTCGGCGCCGCCGCTTCTCCCGAAACGGGTGTAGCGGCTCTCGCTCGGACGTCGCGCGGCCGCACGTACGACAGCTCAATGAGACTACTGGCGTGCCGATTGAACTCCCCGATCTGTCACCCGCTGCGCGGTGCGCGGCTGCTCGGTACACACACTGCTCGGATTGCGTGCCGCCGCAACGCCCTGCTTGGCGGCGTCCAGCGCCGTGTGCGAGTACGCACACTGTTTCCGAGAGGCGTTTTGGTCGCTCTGTCTCCATCGCACCCATGTGTCGTCCCGTAAGAGTGCGAGAGAGACAGAGCGACGAAAACGGCCCTCGGAATCAGTCTGCTGCTGGGCGAGGGCCGGCGGGGACAGGCGCCGGCCGACCTTGGACGAGAGGGGTTCCGTTTGGGAGCCTCGCTACTATTTATCTCGCTTCGTCCTCGCTGCTGGCTGGTCGATTTCGAGGTTTTCAGAGCGTATGGCACGGTCGAGAGTTGACTTGCAAGAAAGAAGCGCTACCACTCGCTTGGACGATCCACTGCAAAAAAAGAGTTCCTGCTTTTCCCTGGTAGCAAAGCCGGGTGATTTCCAGGGAGTTGCCGGGAAAACTAGGAACGGTTTTTGCCGTGTAGTGAACCCAGCGCGTGGCTTTGCAGTGACTCATCGCCAAGGGCCCGTCCTGCAACGAGCGTCCTGCTTCGCTGTACAAGCGGTGTCGCGTTTTTTCCGCGTGCGTTACGCGATTGGTGCACGGGCCCTTATCTAACGTGGGAGGAAATTGGCGGTCCCGGGTCCCCGTCCGTCGGGCCGGTCGGGCCGTCGGGGCGTCAGTGCGCGTGGCGAGTACGCGGTGAGCAGTCCTGGGGCCGTCCTGGGCGTCGCCCTACCGGCATGTGGACGCCTCGCTTTCGGAGGGGCTCAGGTGCGTATGCGTGCGCGCGCGTGGCACAGTGGGCCAGAAGACCGGTGGAGGTGGACACACAACTTTAGACGCGTTTTCAGCTCCAGTGTTGCTAAATGGGACTCGAACCGAACGTGTGACCCCACCATTAGATTCCT